ATTTTCCAAGTATTTATATGTTATAATTTCAAGAATAGGCTTGTTTTTAAATATTTGTATGGCTTATAAATTCATAAAGAGCATTAAAAAATAACCAAAATTAAGTGTTCCTTTACTGGGTGTTCATTCACTGGTAAGAGCTGTTCCTTCACTGGGTCTTCTTACTACTTGTTATTTGAACCTCCAAAACTTTAAAACAATATTATGTAAGTTCTCTACAATTTTTTTTACATAATTTGCAATTAGTAACAAATATGTTGACACTGTCATTTAACTAAATTACAAATTTTGAAATTAATATGATTTTTTAAAAGGCAAGCGAAGCTTAAGTGTTCCCTCACTGGTTAGTTTACCCTACCTCAATGTAAAACTAAATTATCATGTCGGCAAGCACAAGACGAATTTCACTTTTCTGTAGTATTTCAAATAGCCATTTTAAATTTATCAGTTTAGTGGATTAGAAATTATTATTAACACGAAAACTCTTGAATGAATTTTTTTTCAATTCAATATTATTTTTTCAAGAAATTTGACACCTTCCCATAGAAACACATATTACTTCCTCAATATCGTAAACAATAATTACGAAAGGAGTTTATATATTTTTTATTTTAATGCTTTTTTTGCATACCTTAAATAGTTTGTATGATATGATAATTCTATTTTTAAATAAAGAAATTAAAACACAAATACGTGAAGTTATAGAGCTTTTGAAACTAACAAACATAAATCATCAAAAACATAAATTTTGATAATCTTTGTTAAAGTTTTATTACAATACTTGAGGATGAGAACCGTGATCACTTGAATTTCAATATTTATTGTTAAATTATATAAAATCATTACAAACTGTGAAAATTCTAATTACTTTCTATTCAATTAACATTATTATCGTTATTTTTTCGCTTTTATTACATCAAAACAATTCTCCTTACATATTAATAGTACATATTATCGAGATACATATTATATCTCAAAATAATACGATACATATTATTGACAGCACATATTATTGAACATTTGGGGGTATTGAATTGGAGATTAATTGTTTTCTGGTTCAGGTCAAAACAATGATCTGTGGATGAATAAATGGATGTATGATTGGGCCGCCCTTTAAACGGGTTGTGACGTGTGTACGACTGAAGTCGTATTCTAGGCCATACACTGTAAAACAAGAAAGGCACCATTTGCCTTAAATTTGCTTGATATCACCCAGCAGGCTTTCTGGTAATTGGCAAGGGGCATTAGAAACAACAAACAACGTATTATTGCGATACAATACATATTATTGAGAAAATCTATATGCAAGTCGGAGATATTTATTAATGTTGGTAGGATAAAAATATGGCAAATGGTTATTTTATAGCAAAAAAATTTAAAATACTAAATAACTTAAAAAAGACAACTAATACATATTATTTAGAAAAAATAACTTAAGCTGTATAATTTGTTTTTAAAATGATATAAAAACAAAAACTATTTTTGGTCTGAAAATAAGTTTTCTTGTTACACATTAGAATGAAATACTCTGTATTGCGTAAACTAACTATATATACTATTTAAATTTAGTTTCTGCCTGTCTGAAATTAGTTGAATTAAAGTAAATAACAATAACTCGTTTTTCTGACACATCCCATCATCTGTCCTCCTTAAGACTGGAGAAGGGCCAAGTTTAAATTTGTAACATTAAGCAATTCGTCAAGTAAACACTTTTAGCGTCAAACTTTTTCGCAAGAAAAAAACATTTGATCCTATCCATTCACAATGTCATCGTGTTAAGCAAATAAGTCAAGAAGTTCAACACTTTTTTTTACCCTTTTTAAACAGAAATAAAAAGTGCTTAATTAAAGCAATCGTTAGCAAATATACACCGAACAAAAAAAGGGTTAATTAATTAATATTTCACAATTAAAAACAGAAGCAAACGTAAGCGTAAACTAGAGTATACTTAAGGATCCAACGATCAATCTTTTTTTAATGCCAAATGTCATTTCTATTCAATAATAATTCATTTGTCAGATTCTTCGTATATTTTTCCCCCACCTAACTTAAATATTAGAGAGATTTAGCACGTACTTTAAAATCCACTACGCAAACCCAAAACGTGAATACTAGAGAATATGAGACGGTATTGTTGAGTCCTTCTATTATTTTGTGAGCACTATTACTCGCTTTTTTCTTCTTTTTTTCTCTACTAAATGTTCGATTGGGATTCTGAAACAAACAGAGAGTTTTGTATTGACTGCCCTTGGCATAGATTTTTATATAGTTATTATTTACGCTGCACTAGAGCTGCACAATGAGCTATTGTCAACGGTCTGGGAAACACCACTAAGGATATTCCGAAGACATGCCATCGCAATTTTGTGATCGCCACTTCATCAGTTTAGACATAGATCTGAAGGGGAAAGAAATTTTCTCCATATCCCTCTACCCAAGGGACTGCTAGGCGACCGACCACAGGACTTTCGATTCCTCAGATTTTGCGAGCAATCGGTGGGTCTTAGCGGTGTTGAGGATCGAATCATGGTCCCTACGGACCCAAGTCCAATCCTCTTACCATTGAGATTTTTAGAATAATATCAAAGACCTAAATACTGCCAAAAATGAAGTAAAAAAATATGCACAATAAGGGCTTAAAATTCGTAAGAGAATTTTGAAACAACCTTCATGTAAGGAACCAAATATCAATAATTTAATTAATCTTTGTCATCTCTGGACAGCAACGCGTAAACTGATCAGACATCGGTAAAAATCACTAATCTTAAATCAAAAATTTTATACCTTAATAATTAGTAACAATATTATCAGATAAATTTTAGAAATTATACGTTACTTTTTTCCATTATTATCAAATAAAACAATAAAAAATAATAAATATTTTCCAAAAGTTACTTTTTTACTATTCGTTTGCCTTTGGATAAACGGTATTTATAATTGTATGCAAAAAATTTTTCAGTTCGCTTTAAAAAGTTCTCGACATATGCTAAAAGTAAAATTAACACTAAAGGTTCCAAACTTTGAACCGCTGTTCTGGCCAAGCAATTGAGAGCATATTTCCCAGTTTGCTGTTACCTTCCACATTTGAGAGGTCAATAATCCCAATCGCGCCAAAAAAGCATGTTTATTCAGAGAAAGTACGTTTTTGAGTCTGATTTCGTAACTCAAAATATCATCTGCTCTAATTAATTAGAATACTTAAAGTCAATCCTTGAGCCATTTAGATTGAGTCCTAAAACATGAAGATCTGATCATAGGATCAAAAGTTATTCAGTGTGGCCCGTTTATTTTGCGCATGGTACATTATAAGCAGTGATTACTGAACACCCATAATTTAAATTTTGAAAAACGATATTTACTCGGTTTCACATTAATAATATATTTTCTAAAACAAACATTTCAGGACAGTTATCTGCTTTAGAAGAAAAGAGACTTCAAAGGAGCAACCAATTGTCTTATCTGAAACGCTTAGAGAATGATTTGGAAGAGAAGATAGCCATGAATGAAAGAGAAGAAAGAGAGGAAGAAAAACTAAGAGTCAGCAATTTATTAGAAAAAAAGAGAACATTCCAGAATATGGTTGATAATCTATGCGCCGAATCTACGGAAGTTTTTCAACTGACTTTACCGGTCTACGCTAAGAGACAACTGTACGACAATGTCTGTCTGAGACGTCTTTGCGATGAAGTATCAGAAAATATCTTAGACGAACAAGATCGGAACAGACATCTGACTAAGATAGAAAAGATTTTAAATGTGGAAAAAGAAACTCAGATCTACACCGAAGATTTGCTGAAGTCTCAGTTACATAAGCTCAACTCTGATTTGGAATATCTCGTCGAAAGCGAAGCAAAACTTCGGTTTGTGAACACATCTGAAGACGAGGCTGATATTAAAGATAAATATTTGGAGATTCGGAATATGATTGGAGAATTATGCAGAGTTGAAGATGAACGTACAGATCTGTTAAAGATTTCGAAAGACCAAGAGGAGTATAAAGTGGTGCTCGAAAAACAATTGGAAGAAAAGATAGATTTAAATGGTAGAATGATGTCAGCCATTTTGAGAGCAGGTAAAATAGTACATTCTAGAATAAAAGAAGTCGGAGGAAAATCTGAGTATGATTTGGAATTTCTCAGACAGATAAGTATGCTTCTAGAAGATTTTCTTGACTGAATTAAATGGTTAAAGTAGCAAAATGTTAAGTACGTTCAAGTAAATTAATGTAAATTTCTATAATAAATCTTTAATGAAAGTGTACGGTAATTTACCAGAATTATTATTTAGATTAATTATCAGGATCAAATTAAAAGCTATTTTTCTTTTTTAGCTACAAGAGGACGCTATATTGCGCAAGAGAAATCCTGAATGACAAATTCTCTTTCATCTGCATTATAAGTTCAAAGCTTACAGAAAAATGAATTCAGGTTGACCTTAGAGGAAACCATAAAATGCTGAAAAAAAATTAAAAATATCAAACTGTAAGCAAATTATGATAGGTTTACACAGAATTACTCAGTTGGGAAGAAATCTTGTAGTAATCTCTTTTAAAGGTCCCCTTCAAGCAGAAAAAGCAATTCTACTTTATCTGTGTTATCTTCTGTGTTATCCTTAAAAGAATGTTTTCTTTAGGTGGTATTTTACCACGTTTATATAAACTTGCCTTCGTGTATGTCTGTCCGGGTGAAATTTTGTAATCGATTTTAAACTAACTTCCCGACTAGCTACAAACAGGATTTNGAGTGTAAGGTAATTTACCAGAATTATTATTTAGATTAATTATCAGGATCAAATTAAAAGCTATTTTTCTTTTTTAGCTACAAGAGGACGCTATATTGCGCAAGAGAAATCCTGAATGACAAATTCTCTTTCATCTGCATTATAAGTTCAAAGCTTACAGAAAAATGAATTCAGGTTGACCTTAGAGGAAACCATAAAATGTTGGGGAAAAAATTAAAAATATCAAAATGTAAACAAATTATGATAGGTTTACACAGAATTACTCAGTTGGGAAGAAATATTGTAGTAATCTCTTTTAAGGGTCCCCTTCCAGCAGAAAAAGCGATTCTACTTTATCTGTGTTATCCTTATATGAATGCTTTTTTAGGGGGTATTTTTAAAATTTTTTTAATGATCTTCAAAGTTTAATTTAGAATTTGGTAACTAGGTTTAACAGAGCACGTTTCATTGAAAACAATTGAGAGAAAAAAAGTATCAAGAATTATTTATTAATAAAAATATGTTTAGTGATTGGTTGCATAATAAACAAAGAAATCATTTTTATATAATTCTCCGAAGGTTAACATTGAGAAAGTAGAATCTCACAGTCCAAATAGTTTTCGATTGCCATTTCAAAAAGATTTAATAATTTTCTTTACAGCAAATAGAGTTAGCATTTGCATGAAGAATAGAAATTTGGCGAAGATTGTGCCAAACTTATTTCACGAGTTTTTCCTTTTTTGTAATTTTTGATGATGAGAATAAGTTTAACTAATTAAACTAAAAGTTGCCTTATATGTTAGTAGTTATCTCTCTCTTTCTGTCAGTATGTATGATGGGTTAGACATATGTGATAAAAAGTATCAAGCATTTATAAAAAAGATAAATAAATAAACAGCTAATTGAAACTTATTTTGAGGCCTTGTTCTGCATATTTATATCATAGTAAAACAAGATTTTGAAGATTCTTGTTTTTGTAGTCATTAATGACTAGAAATTTATGAATGAACTTGCATAATGAGTTATTAGTTGATTAGATAAATCTTATGCTTGCTAATTTTCGAGGAGCTGTAACTTTATTCATTAAAAATTGTGTCTATGCATATTAAAATGACAATGAATTACGTGAAGAAGGCACGACTCACTAATAGTTTCTACATCGTAAACGGCATGAGATACGAGAGGGAAAAAAAAGAAAACTTCGAAGTTAAAAGAATTCTTGCTTTTTTGCGAGAAAAAAAAACTTGAGCATACTTATGTAGAGAAAAGTATGAAAGAATGCGCAAGATATTATTTATGAACAATGCATGATTTTCCGAACAATAACTCCACAATACGCTAAATCGGTGAAAAATAACCTTCAGTATTCAAAAATAAACTGTTGTAACAACAGGGACAACTAATGCGGAATGTTTGCGGAAGGATAAAAGAAAAAAGAAAAAAGAAAAAAAATCTCATTTTGCCACGAGGCTTGAAATCTCAGTTTCAAGAACAACTAAAACCACAATTGTTTTATGCCTTTCTTTCAAACTATTATTGAACACAATTTATTTTTTATTACTAAATTAACGATACCCTTAAATTTATATTTGGTATATTCGTGCCCCATACTGTTTACGATATAAAAATAAATAAATAAATAAGAAAAAATGTAAAAAAAATTAAACAAATACACTTCTAATTTACACGCATTAAGTGTAAGTGTAGTTTCATCGCTTAGATCGTCATAGTCTCTTTGTTACACCAAGGAACTTTTTTATTATACTAAACTGTTGCCATTAGGAAAAAAATTGAGATAAGTATGAAATTGTGATGTGTTGTCTTTATGAATAAGTAGTCCAATGCCCAGATGGAATTATGGAAATACTCGACTAATTTTCTCTTTATAATAAGTATGAATTTAGGAAATGTATATAGGACAGAACTAACCGCCACCACTGGCCCTAGGGCAACTAAATATAATAGAATTATGATGAACACTTAATAATGTATTGAAAATTACTTTATTTCCTGCTCGTTTTTTTTTTTAAATATTTCTTCGTTTTAAAAATAAATCTTGCATCCATTAGTACTTTATTTACGTCACACTAGAGCTGCACAATGGGCTATTGGCGACGGTCTGGGAAAAGTTATTTTTTTTAAAGGTAGACACTGAATTCTCGTTCTTCACCTCGGAAGATGCCAGAAGTGTTGTATATTTAACGTTACCTAGTGGGCACCTGTGAACCTAAGTCACAGAGGCAAGCAGCATTACCCACTCCACGTTGCTACAGATACCCGTTTATAGAGTGGGCCACAATCACAGATCACACAACAGAGAACAACACACAGAGAGAAACACCCATGCCCTGAGCGGGATTCAAACCTGCAACCATTGTCTTTGTAATCAGGCCCACTAACCACTCTGATCGGACAGAATACGATGGTACGATACTCGGTTATTAATCCAGACAGAATACCATGTCTTGGGCACAGATCAGAGGATAACAACCTCACTAACTTGTTACCTTTCAACAAGCTAGGTGGAAATAGGAAAAGAGGAAGACCTCCACTCAGACGTTGAGGAAGATCTGAAAACATTAAAGGCGACTAGTTTGATTGACTCTGAAGGAAAAAAAAAACTAGTTGAGAACGGTCGTGGAGTGCTTTGGGCTGTAGTGTGAAGAAGAAGAGGAAAAACTACTGGGTTCAATTAGAATTTATTTTTTTCAAAGTTCATTCAAAAAAGGTGATACATAATAAAAGTAATAAAATGATGATTAATTAAGAGAGAGAAAATTGTGATCACTATATTGCCATCACTGGATGCTAATTAGTCAAAATTTTCTTCTGTATAGACTTTTATAAACGTCACATCATGTTATAGGTTACAAAAGCTGCATTTATTAGTGCTATTGATGTGTGTCTTCTTGTCGACCAATGGTCTGAATTGGTTTTCAATTCCAGTTATTTTACGTTTTTCAAGACGTCGCAAAATTCGTTTCCTTCTTTATTCATATTTATAGTAAAACTGCTGGGCAAGATGCTAATTATGAATAAGTTAATCATAAAAAGAACGTAAAAATACTTTAAATTAATTCTATGTAAAAAGATCGAAAATATATGTTCGCATTAGTGAAAATCAAAAGAAAAAACTCTGAGAATCTCCAAATATTATAGTCCGATTTTTTTTAAAAAATTAATCTTGTTCTGCTGTTTCTTTAAACCTTCTTTATTCATATTTATAGTAAAACTGCTGGGCAAGATGGTAATTATGAATAAGTTAATCATAAAAAGAACGTAAAAATACTTTAAATTAATTTTATGTAAAAAGATCGAAAATATATGTTCGCATTAGTGAAAATCAAAAGAAAAAACTCTGAGAATCTCCAAAAATTATAGTCCGCTTTTTTTTAAAAATTAATCTTGTTCTGCTGTTTCTTTAAAGTTTTTTTTAATTTATTTTTTCATTCATGTTTCTGTTATTTTAAATTTTTATGACTTCAAACTCTATATTTGCAGAGATGCCAACTTGCTCCGGACAGCAAATATATATTTTAAAGTGGTAGCTAATAAATATATATAGCACAATTTCATTGGACCAACATACTTAGGTATATCTTTACCTATGTCTTAAGGTATTTAGTTACCTTGTAATAGCAAATTTTAATTCGAATTGAAANTCATGTTATGCTATACCTTTAAAAAGCAAGCAAAAATAGTCAAATATTTGCAAAATTTACTTTGTAGTTATTTACCGCTTTTTAAATTATTTTGGCGTGTCCGAAGCAGTTTGGCATCTCTGTATTTGTCATCATAATGCCGCAGTTGATCTAATCGATGAAGTTGCTCTGATCTAATCGAAAAGTGAGAGGACATGAAAATTCTAGAACCACACCTATTTTCCTAATGGGTAATAGTTTTTTTTTAATAATTTCTTAGATTCATCAGTCTATGTTTGAATGGCATCAAACAAGAGAGAGAATTACACTTTTATACAAATTAGTAATTTGACTTTAAACTAATGCTCAAGATATTTTTAACAACGTATAACAACAACATGAATATTTACATATATAAAATGCAAGCATTACTTGAAAATAGCTTTCTGTTGGTGGGTACATATATACAGCATGTATCATTATAAACGTCCATATTATATGTTTTTGGAGTTCTTCAAAAAAATGTAGTAAGAAGTAGAAGAAAGACAATCTAATTAATTATTGCAAATTCTCTGTGCCACTGAGAAATAGATTAATTTTCAATCTCTTGTTGTTTCAAAGACATAAAAAATGAATAAAATAAAAATCCCTTTAAGAAAGGTTGTGTATATCTATAGAGCTCTAATACAAACAGAGCAAACTCATTAAAATAATGAAATTTTTTACCTTCCGTTTCCTCTTGTTATTTCAAGGGAAAAAAATCAATGTGGGACTTTTAAAATCAAAAATTTTAAAAATATGATGGCTAACTGTGCTACATATGGTTGTGCTGAAAAATTTGCTTAAAGGCAGACCTTATACATTTCATAGGTAAATTAATTTATCACTTTTTAGTATTACAATTGTCTTATTTACAATAAAAATAAACTTTCAGTATGTTTCTTTTTCTTCATTAAAATATCATATGAAACCCGATTATTTCATTTTATTCATTCTGAAATTCAAATTTATTCTTTAAAAACTATCTTACAGGTAAATATAAACGAATAAGAACACGACTCTATCATAAAGTAATGATTGTATAAAACTATTCATTATCACTATATTATTTTTTTCATTTCAATTTTATTGTGAAAATGTTACAGCGAACATTGAGTTTCTTTCCTTCGTCGTTTATTTACGTTGCAAGTTTTTACTTTCTATAATGCTTTTAAAAGAATAAATTTAGTATTTTTGTTAAATTTCAACAGTTTTCCTGCTTTGAATCAATTTAGTTAAAATATATTTTCAATAACTGAATGAACTAAATTTTCTTGACTACAAATTAAAAAAAGTTACTTAGTAAGAACATTATTCCTATATTGCAATAAATGAAAAAAATACTAATTTATGAATGTAAATAAGAATAAAATTAATAAAGTTCTTTCCCATCCAAACAAGTATGTAAGATAATATCTGATTACGTTTTCTATGAAAGAAATTTTTAGTTTAGAAGTAAACAAAATTTGTTTTCAAAGTTTTCATCTTTTTCCTTTATATTATTTTTAACCAATAAAGAGATGAACTTGTTAATTTAATAGCATAAATTGCAATGATGTGACAAAGAAAACTCATGTTATCATACCTCTGAACAGCAAAGAATGTTCTCTAGAAAATGATCTCCGCTGTTCAGAGAGTTTTGATTTCAGAATATCTGATATTACGTACTGTTTTAAGCATAAATAGATCATTCTACAAAAAAACTTTCACATTCAAGTAACGGGAAATAAATTGAAAATTATAACGTGTTGTTTCTACAAGAGCACTTTTTATATATCGCATAAAAAATACTTCTTTTCTTTATCTACAGGTTTTTAATTGAAAACTATAATTACGACATAGTTACGGTAAAGTTAACAGATCATAGTTAACGTTATATTAAGGTATCCGTACACGTTGAAAAAGTGAATTTTAGCCAAAAATGACAAATTTTTTTTATTTTATATTACGAATCTCCGTTTATTCTAGTTTTCAAAACANATTTCCTGTTTGCTAAACTGCAGAGATATCTAAACTAATTACTTTCTTTCTGTAAATTCGATAACCATATTCTACCCAATCTAAATACAAAATAATACATAACATCTAATCAAAATACAATAAAAATGTCCTATTTAAGGAATTATATCCTATTTAGTGATCTATAATATTATAGATGCAATCATCATCCATTAATTTGTGGTCGGTTCGTTTGTGTGTTGGTAGTGTAGTGACAGTTACAGCAGCAGGAATATTCAAAGATGTCAAAGAATGTTCCAGCATCAGGAGATGATGGATTCCATGCTAACAGGGTATGGTGACAGTGTCTTGATTCGCATACACCATTCAGGTTGCCACGTCGTCCATAGGGATAGCCATAATTCCTACAAACGTCACTTGGAATGCTGAAAAATTAAAGAAAAATAGTACTGTAAATTAAGAACATAGAAATATAATATCGTTTCTCCTATTTAATGAATGTTTAACTTGAGAAAAATCAGTTAGTAAGCAACATTAAGGTAGTTCCTAGCAACGGCGAAGAGTTACCTAGCAGCGGTGAGTCGATGGAAAGAAAACTCCAAACTTCAAACTCCAAACATATCCACTCTATTAATTAGGTACAAATCAACGGACTTGCCTAAGACAAAATACCTCTGAACAGTGAAGAGTGTTCTCTAGAACAACGGTTCCCAAAAGATGCTCAGCGGAAACCTACCTTGGGTTCAACGAAAGAATTACAAAACTACCAATTTTTATTTATTTATTTATTTAAAAAAAAAACATTCTTTTTTGGAATTGATTATTTAATTCCTGTCAGTAATTTTTATATTTTAAAAATATTCCTTCATATGAAACTTCATGGTTTACTCTAGGTCAACCTGAATTCATCTAACATTTAATTTTAAAGTGGGAATGGAGTAAACGTCCATAAAACGTCCTCACGCGGTGTAACGTCAAATATCGGTGACGATTTCGGTGATACGGTAATCGAATATTAAAAAATCACGCCGCAAACGCTATTCACTTCTACAATACTGTGACTTTTCCTCACATTGACGTTTTGCACCATTTTCAGAATAAACATAGACAACGATCGTTATTGATAGACTGAACTTGACCTAACGGTCATCTTTAACTGCTGCAAACTCACAAAAGTTATGAAAATATCACATTATTCACAAAAAAACGTCATTTCATATAGCGACGATTGCATTCTTTCAGCATTTGAAACTTCACGGTTTACTCTAATTTAACCTGAATTCTCTTTTATCTCCAAACATTAAATTTTAAACTATAAAAGACAGTGGCTTAATGTCTGTCAATAAGGCTTCCGCCAATAAGACAGAAATTTTATTGCCATAAGACTTGTGACAATCATAAGATTCTTCTGATAAGACAGAAGTCTTATTCAATAAGACTTCTGTCTAATCCCTATCTATATAGGTATAAGAGAGAATTTGCCATGAAGCGTCCTCCCAGCGGTTTAACGTCCTCTTAATGAGTCATTATTAAAGGATCTAAGATTGAGGAAGGAAGAATGGTAGTGAGCAAGTTACCATAATTACCTGCAAGATGCTTCTAAATAGCATTGTTCAAGATTAGGTGGATCTTGCACAATGTATCGCAATTCTCCCTTCACGTTGTACATCTGATAAGGAATTCTCAAGAGATACTGATTACCGTGACATCGATCAAATATCGGTGATGATTTCCTGTAATTTGAATGACAATAATAAAAAAGAAGAAGACATCTTAGAGAATTTTGAATTTAAAAAAAAGAGACTGTCCTAACCCTTTGACGCAGATGGGATACCGCCTCTCTTTTATATATTTCACTCCTGACGCTCTAATTACAAGCAAAAATATATTTTAATTCTAAAAATCAGTCTACTAGTTGCTAAATAAATATGTTATGTTGTATTTGTACTAAAATATAAAATTAAAAAGAAAAGTAGTTTGAAAAAAAATTTTTTTTTCTTTTATTCGAGCATTTATCAAAAAATGATTTGGTAAATTAACTAAATTTCAATGAAGAATGACTGTTTTTCTTGGATCTAAATAACTGCATATAAGTGCAAATTTGAAAAAAATATTGTTCGGAAGTGAGCCGTGTTTGAAGATTTTACCTGCAACGGAGAAAAAAACACCGATGTTTCGTGATGTATTTCATAACCATTAATTATTAAAATGCTAAATGCAATATTTTTTATTTATTTTGACTTAAAGTAATAGAAAATATTGAAATAAAGATGAAAAATATGCTTAATGAAAATTCTGCGTCGAACGGTTAATTCCCCACACTACATGTTTTTTAATTTTTTGTGTGGCAATAGGGTTGTTCAAATAACATACAAGTACCCTTCGTAGAAAAAGCTCCCCGGCACTGCAACTCTCTAAGCAGATTATCACAATATCTGCAAATTTTTCGCAATCTTAGATTTAAAAAAATAATTACCGAAAAAATTTTAATAATTAAAACCGAGAACGAATGAAAATTAAAGAAAAGATAAAACGAAAAGAAAAGATTTTTTTTATCTCAGTAAGGATTAGTTTTCCTTTTCTTTTAAATTTGATAGTAAAACGAGACAATGTTTATTTGTCTGGTAAGTACCTGTGATGGTATGGTAACGAATTTCATTTGACGAAATTTTAAATCGGCGCAAATCAGAGCATCGTTAATTACAATTCTGTTAATTTTTTCCTCTGAAATATAACGTTATTTCTCGTTAAGGTTTTCATTCTCATTTCTTCGCGTAAGCTTCTGTTTTTTCTCCTTTTGGACAAAGCGAAAGATTGTATAAAATCCGATTTAAATTTAAGCAACATATAATGTATAACATTATATGTTAAAAATTATATATAACATATGCATTATAGGTTCATTACATTAAAATTTGTGTGTATAACATTCTTATATTTATTATTAACAAATTGAATTATGTTAAATATATGTCAGATTAAGCTTTATTTTTTGCAATGATTATCTCTAACGGATCAGTAGTTGCAGACAAATTTGAGTCTTTAAAGATTGTAGTGACTTAATAAATTCTACTACCCTAGATTATGCTAAATATACCTTAGATTACAAACTAAGGTAAACAACGTTTAGGAGCACAAAAATATTTATAAATACATTTATAAATATGCATTTATAAATATTTTTGTGCTCCTAAACGTTGTTTACCTTAGTTGTATTTTAGCACAAAGGTCGCCCATTTGTGTATTTATACGTTAGATTAAGTTTTATTCTTACAATAATAATCTCTAATAGACTGAAAGTTGCTGACAAATTTGAGCCTTTGAAGATCGTGCTGCAGATTGCAAATTTTAAGTAAATTAAATATCTAAGTAAATTTCTTAGTAGTATCGTAGAGTGTGCTTTGCGTTAGATTAAACTTTATTTTTTACAACAATAATCTCTAACGGATTTGAAGTTACAGACAAATTTGAGTTTGTAAACGTCATGCTGCATTTCAATGAAAATTCTTTGTAATATATAAAAATTATTAAATTAGAATAAATATTTAAAAAAAATTAAGGAAGCAAAGGATTAACAACGCTGAAATTATTATGAATTATTAAAAAGAATTTTTACAATTTCGATATAGAAAATGAGACGGTTGATATAAAGGTCAAACAATAAGTCATTTTACATTATAATTATTACATCCGATACTCAGTGGCGAAGCTAACGGAAAATAAAATGGGACCCCAGGCGCCGTCTTGGATGGGGGCAAAATTCATGAAGAAAAAAAATTAACACTGTATTCATAATAAACTGTATAAATGATTAAAACAGTAAAATATTTTTCACTTTTAAAAATCGCCAGTTTAATTTGTTAATTAATATTTTTCAAATATTTATTCGATTTGCTCAAAACTTGAACTGGATGTCTGTTGTACCTAGTATGCTAAGAGCATAGATTTCTTTTAAATTATTTTTTTAACCTACTTGAATAAAAAATGTCTTTAGAAAAAACGTTTATCATACAATAAAAAGTAATATACGCAATCAAATACGTAAAAGTTACCTGAAATTAAACACGTAAGTGCAATTGAAACTACATTTGCAACATAGACACACTATTAAATTTTAAACCTTTCGATTGAATATGTTTATTCAGTTACGTTGTTCGAAAAAACATTTAAATCTTATTCAATATGAAATGTTATTTTATTTTGTAACCGGTGAACAGCCGATCCGATTCGGAGTTTACAACTACCAATGTTCAACTCAGTAATTTTGTAATTTTGAACCTAATTCAGAAGACAAAGGGACTTCTGGAACAAGTATTGGAAGAAACTTTCTTTCTTTGGAGAACTTTTTGATGGAACTAAACCGCATTTGCGTTACATAGAGAGAAAAACCATGAAAATCTCCCATGGTTAGCCTGCCTGAAAGGGGACTCTAACCCATGACCCGTCAACCATAAATGGATATTTTACGTTAGTACTGTAATTAGTTCGATCCTTGTGTTGAATTCTTATCGACCGGTCATAGCTGGGACTCGAACTCGAGCCACCACATTGTGAGGCGAGTGCTCTATCCTCTGAGCCACCATGACTCTCTCTCTGTGAAATTTTTTAAAAAAAATGTCAAATGTGATAGATTTAAGTTTTTGCATTATCTTGAACGTGAAGTTATCTCTCGAAAATTCTCATTTAACGCCTTACATGCTATTGCAAGGCAGCCCCAAAACTGAGATTGTCCCTGGGTACTCAAAACCCCAGCTTTGCTTTTGCCAATACGCATTATACTATAAAGTTTAAATACACGAAATTTTTTTTTTAATTAACCATTCCGTTACTACCCTTTTAACGCATAAAAATAACTATAAACACATAAAAACGTTCTTTCTCAGATTCCGTGACAGCTGAAATTCTCTTTAACTAAGCAAGAGGTAATTATTTCTAAGAATGTGTGACAGTTTACCGTGCAATAACTGTTTCAAAGGGAGGAAAATCAATAAAGGACGTAGCATAACTGTGAGAGATCTTTTGTGTTTATCGCCAGCAACCCTGATTTCCCATGAATCCCACTGTGTCAAGAAGTTGGAGGAATACATTTTTGTTGCATTCCTTCGACCCATCCCCTAAATTTTACAACACAAACTTCTTACATGGAGGTATTGCAATTGCTGTTGACAATACAACTATCAAAAACGAAACCTACTTAGGATTTTATTTATTTACAATATCCTACTTCAGAAAATCTATTTTTTTCTAGTTTAAGTTCTGAAATAGAAAATATGGTTCGAATAAAATATAATTGATAAATAAATTGTGATATTTTATTATTTCATAGTGCATCTGGTATAAAAATATTTCTAGAAAAGTAATTTTGTGAAACTTCACAGAATAAAAATTTTTTACCTAATTATAAATTAATACAACTTAATTTGGGAATAATTAAAAGTTTATCCTCATTAACAAATGAAAAAATTCGGGCAGTTGAGTAATGCTTAACTACTTCTATGAGTATTCATTATTATTTGCATATTCATTTATCATTGTGTTATGTAACATGCTATATGTTATGTATCATGCCTCATGTTATTAAGTATTGTTTATTGCTTTGCATGAAGATAAGTAAAACTGTAAATTTAAGTGAGAGCAAAAGTGTCAGTTACGTATATAAGGGTAATTTTATTCATAAAATTACCTTTATATAAAAATAAACTAAAACGTTAAAGGAAAAACATTTAATATTCTACATACATTTCTTTTGTACTGTATAATTTCCATTATTTAAAATTGAATTTTATTTTAAAAAGATTTTTGTTGTCTACTTATAATTTCGTTATAACTAAATCAATATAGTGAATAATAGATTTTTATAATTAACTACGTTAATTTTGGATTAATGCGACTTTAATTTAATCTGAGCTGATTAATATTTCCATTACATTTATGTAGAATATAAGAATTAAAATTTTTTATTTTAAATCATGTTTTGAATATTTATTAAAATACTATCACACAAATAATAACAATAATAATCACAATAATAACAATAAAACTACAATTACTTCAAAATAGGATTCTGTTATGTCATCCTTATTTGTGCGCTCTAAAATCGCAAACTTTACATACATACCCTATTTGGTCAATTTGGTAATGATTAGTTTTAGGAAAAAAAATCAGATAATTAAAATTACTGCACTCGAAAAATCTATTATGCATCAATCTCAGGGCATTTTTTTAAATGCAATAAGAAATGTATTCAGTTAGTTCCGTTTAAGTCCGTAATTTAAAAGATTCCATGCTGCCACGCCTACAATTCTATTATTTCAAAATTCTGCACACGTATAAGTAGTTTTTAAACTTATTTTTAAATCATATTTAATGCCTTTTCAAATTGCATTTTAAAACGCTGGAGCAGGTGTGCCTTATTTTTAAAAACAATAAATATAAGTAAAGGAGTGTTTGTTCTCGATTTCTTCAATTGGTTTACCATGCGATTTTTAACACATACTTTTCTTCTTTTTTTTTACTTAAATAGGTACAGCAATTATGATTCAAGGATATTTCGTAGAGCAATGAAATTTATTTATTTATTTATTTTTTAAATAAAAACTTCTTTTGAAACTTAACCGTTTAAAAATCTGAAATTAAAAATTTATTGCTTATTTTATAACAAAAAGAAAAGGAAATTTAAAAGAAAGAAGAAGGTGAGAGGACACTATACCCGTGGGAGAAACATTTAATGGCA